CAGTCAAAGGGTCAGAGGATTATGAAATTCTTGATGAACTTAGTAAGTTTGTTTCTCTTAGTAAATAAGTAACACACCACCTGTGCAGGCATCTTACCACTGCTGGAACAGACAACTTTTTCTATGTGTGAAGATTGTTTAACCTGACCTGTGTAAACTCTATGTGTTTCCTAGCAAGACCCGGAATGGACTTTGTGTGTGCACATGCTGAAAAAACACAAGCCCTGCTCTGTAGTGTCAACTCCAAGCCCAAGGAGTTTGGTTTTGTGGATTTTTAAATCAGCCAAACTATGCTGCATAACCAAGACACTGCAGAAACACCTTTCTGAATTCATAACAACTTGTCTTAGACATGCCAAGAGCACTATAAAGATACACAGAAAATAAAAAGCCCTGCACTCAACCTTATCATTTTCTATGACATAACAGTTTTATTTCTTCGTAAATATGCACATACCCAAAAAACAATCCTGAATATTTATGCATGGGACATGACAGCCACTATGCGTGCAAAGTTGTTATAAACATAGTTTCATATTTAGACATGGGCCTTTTCCTCTTCAGACAACAGAGGAATTGCTAAAACAAATCACCAGTGCTTATTTAGAAGCCGGATGGGTACAAGCGACTCAGAAATTCAGAAAATTAAGACATCTGATTTAACAACTAATTCTGGGGAAAGAGATAAGAAATAAAGGGATGAGCCACTGACTCACAGTATCACAAGTGGCCTGGGGAACCCCTTTCAAGGGTATTCCTTATGCAAGAGAATGCCCTGCTGCAGCACTAGAAGGAATGCCAGAGCATCTACTTCAAGAGAAAGAACAAGCAGTCCCTACAGTTTATCCTCATAACAAACCTTGGATATCTTCTCTTTCTGCATTTTGGCTATTTTATTTGAACCGAGGAACTGTTCAGGAAGTGACAAAGATGGACTAGGTTAAATGCTGTAACATGGTACTTATTCACACCACATTAGGCAGAGGAACACTAAAATTAGGCATAAAATTTTATTCCCTTGGTAATATCCTCCAGTATTGGCTAGAGACAGGAGGAGAAAAGGGAATTTCCCTTGGAAAAATAAAGCAAGCTATTGATACGTAATATAAATATTGTGGCATTACATCTTTCAAGTATCACCATTTCTGGAGGGAGGGGGTGAAACATCACCAGAGAGACTGGAAAAAATTAGCCGTTCAGTGAGCAGCCTAAAGACTCTTTCGAATGGTTACTGTACTCTCCCTTACATTCTGTCTGTAAACAATCTTATTAATTACAAAAACATGAGAAAGCGAGGCATGTTTTCTTTTGATTTTACTGGAGCTGCATAAGAAATATGTTTGGCCTACCACTCCATAAAAAGATATTACAGGCCTGATCCCAAGCTCATTGCTGTCTTTCCTTTGGGGTCAGGAGCAGGCTCATGCAAAGTAGGAACAAAACAGCAGCCTTCTTAAAACCTATCATGGAAATAATTTTTTTAAAATTGCTGCTTTGCACTGGTTCTTTTCACCACTGCACCTAGTGACGGACAGCACTTGCCAGATTCCGACTGAAACAGCTGAAGTTATGCCAAGTGAACATACATCTGTAGTATACCATGTCCTTTTTAATCAACTTCCTGATTAAAAAATGGCATGCTGACATAAGGTATGAGAGATGTAGACTTTTAATACTTCACAAAGTAATAGACCCCAGTGCTGGTTTGGTTGAAAATCTGTGATCTTACAGATGTTTACGAGTTTGCCTGGTGCAGAGCTATAATCAATTTGGTTATGATGGACCCTCAAGATACATAAAATTTATCCTCAAGAAAACTGGCTTCTGAAACCAATTGCCCAGATGTATTAGACTGGTGGGAGTTTCAGCAAACCAAAGGGTCTACTGGCAGACGCAACATTGATTTCTTAATGTTTACAACCTACCAGACAGCTCTATACCAGACCTGATTTGATGGATCTCTATAGGGCGCCCTGCAGCCTTGGTTATTTCCACAACCAAGTTGGCTAGTTTTGCTACTTGGTGACCGTGTTCCACATCTGCAGCTGCACTGCAAGCATACTGAGCTAGTATATACACTGCAAATCTGATCTGAGATCAGATTTTAAATCCAATCTAATAATGATGTTTACTGTTTTCCTGACTAAAAGTATGATCCCTTTCAAGGGATCAAAAATCCTATTGTGGTTTTTGTCTGTCTATCTCCACATCCTACTCCCCCTCCCAACACAAGACATTCCCCCTTCATTTCAGTTTCATTACGTTTTGCTGCTTTTTCTTCTAGGGCTAAAACAGGCAGAGTGGTTCTAATCAAAGCAGAATACTGTGAAGGATTCTAAAGAGATAATCTTTGTCAACAGCCTACAAAAGCTTTGATTTGCTCTTCTTGTGACTTTTTAATCTAGGATATGTGGAGAATATGATGCTATTTGGTCTGCACCCATTTTCATTCCATAGAAATCTGGCTGCACTTCTGTTTAAAACATCATTTATAATCTTATTAGGATTTCTCATCACTTCTATTATTCGAAAGAAAAGGTCAGTAAGTAATCTACAGCCATGAAGTTTTCTTGTACTGTACTATCAAGAACTTCACATCTTTATTGAAAGTTGATCAACACGATGCAAACATTTATCAAGTTCAGGCAAATTGATATTAAATTCAATATTTCTATAAGGATATTCAGTGTTGTATACGTATTTCATAGCAAAGTACTTTTCCACCACTGAATCGGTCAGCAAAACAATGACTGTGCTCAGAGTTGATCAAGAAATAGGTTCTAACACAGAGAACTTTGTTTTATAAATGTGCTTCTGCAATGCACTTAAAAAGAAATGCACATGCTGATTTCCCGTGGAAATGCTGATGGATGGGAATTATATTTTCATTCTTTTGGAGTCCACGTAAAAGCCTGACTGGTGCAGAAGAACAGTTTTCAAAACAGTACCTTTTTTGCCATTCATATGGCAAAGTTTCTATGCCTAGCTAATAAATTGCCGCATACGTGTATGCATGTATGTGTATGCAATCAAAATACTCCTTTGCATATCTTATTCATCTCCTCAACACAAAAATCAGACAAAATAGAAAAGAACAGAAAAAAAGACACCCTCAAAAATGGTCCTTAACAAATCTGGAGAAATAATACACCTCTGAATACAATGAAGTAGCTCCTCTTCTTTCTTAATTGTCTTTGTCTCCAAACACACAGTTGCTCAATTCTATAATATGTAAGATACAAGGTTGTAGAGTAAAACAACAAAGTCATACTATGAACTAAGAACTTCTACAATAAAATTGATGCCCTTTTGGAAAATATGGGCATATAACTGGGTATGTGAATCTAAAACAAAGAAACCACTGCAAATGTTTAGTATTTAACTATTGCTCTTGTTGGTTAAAATAATGGAGAGGGGGGGGGGGGGAAGAACATTCACTCTCCAGAAAGTTCAGGCTGTAAAATGCATACAAAATTTAATCTACTCTTAGATTAGTTTAAAATGTACCAAATTCTGCATTTACTCATTGTAATCATTTACTCTTCCCTTTGTTTCACTTGATAAATCAATGCAGTTTTTAAAAAAATATAATCATGACTTTTTTTTTCCCCAGTGAAAAATCCTGTTTTATTGCATACAGTCTTATATCACTCTGTATTTCTAATGTTAGGAGTGTTATGTTGCCATCTCAATTGTTTTTAAATGTGTCATATTGCAAACAAGTATAAACATATATATTCACCAGACTATACCACCAAGTTTAACCTTATCATTCCAAACTTCAAGAACGTTGATAAATCATCAGGAGTACCTGCTAACTGCCTACTAAGGGTTAACAGTTTGTTCCAATATTTTTTTGTTGTTGTTTGCAGAGTGACATGACAAAGAATTTTATTTGTTTGGTAATTTTTGAAAATAAACTATCACACAAAACTGAAATGTCAATTAAAAAAAAAAAGGATCGAGGTAAAAACTAAATATCGTTCGGAACTGTATGCTGTTGTTCTCCAAAACAACATAATTAAAGGTAACAAAAACCCCACATCTCTCAAATTAAAGCAAATCATTCATTAAACAGTTCTACAATAGTCACAAGAACTATGTAAAGACAATTAAAGGATAATAATTTCTACTTAACCTCAACCTTAACTGCAGTTTCAAAATTAGGTCAGTTAAAATGAAAATCACCATTTTTAAGGAGATTAAGAATCATTAAAATTGGATAAAAATATTCCTAAATGACTACATGAAAAAAGGCAAATGTAACTAAATGTTAAAGCCCCCCATATTTTATACACAGCATCAGAATTATATAAGAAATGCCTATCAATGGATGCTCTGTTCGAGAAGTGGGATTCCAGTCTGACTCAGTGTTATTATCAGGCAAAAAAATATGTAATTCAAAGATAGCTTGTTTATTTTCTTCTTTTGTTTTCTCCTTTCAATAAAGAAGCTTTTATAAGGACATATATAACGGAGATATTTGGAGCTGAGAGAATCACTAGTAATTTGTCAATCAATAACTTCAGTTTTTAGCATTACAAGTGAGTTTGTGTTAAATAAGCATTTTTTTTCCCTTTCAGCCAAGAAAATGCATACCACACCAATCAAAACTAAGCACATCTGGGCTTTCATTGAAACAGTAGTTGCTAATTTTACAGGTCTGCCCACATTGTTCTAGAAAATAGGAAGCAGAAATCTGACATTTCTAGCAGTCGTTATTAAAACAACAACCACTGAGAGCTTGATCCCGTTTTCACTGGAAGCAATGTCAAACTCCCCGTTGACTTCAGGGAGAGCAGGATCGGGCCCTGAGCTGCTCAGCCTCCTCCAGCTCTAGGCACAGGAGGATGACTTGAGGAGCTGGGGTGGGAGAAGAGGAGAAGTACAAAACCCAGCTATTCTTTTGTTAACTGCCCAAAGAGTTGAACTTTCCATCACTTTGTGAACAACAGCAAAGTGCCCTGCAAACAACAACGGTGATAAAAGGACATATTTACCTTGAGGGAATAGCAAAGAGAAAGTCGTAGAATTGCAAAACAAAGTAGTCCAAATGAATTATCTATGCATGCAGTCCAAACGTGCACCTTCAAGTAGGCCACAGTCTGTCAAGCAGTCGTCTCGGTACCAGCCACCCTGCCTTCCATCTTACGAGATTCACCCAGAAAACTGACAAACCTGCTCCACGACAACAAAACTCTCCTAATGCTTTTGAACGCCCACCATTTGTTCTCCATTCATCCAATCAACTTTCCACTGCACATCTTCTCCTGCGACTGAGGCTCAGAGGCAGGATCCCTTCTCATCTGTATGCTAATTATTTTGCCACATGGACAAAAGTAATAATGCTTTCAGACAGGAAACCAACGGGCCTGAAGTCGAAGGCAGAAATTAATAAGTTGCCACCACTGAACGCTGAGAAGATGGGCATGCGTGCAGCTCTGGGGCTGATGGATCAGCTGTAACCTCCATTTAAGAGCAGCAGAGAGGCGACGGGCTGGAGGAAGCCCAGGCAGCGTAGCATGCATCGAGCCCAGGTTCCCTCAGAGACCACATCACTGCAGCAGAACAGCATCCGTAGCAGAGCGCTGACTTACCCCGCCTCAGCCCGCATCCTTTAAGCAGCGCGACGCACATCCATTTCCCCGGC